GCTGGCTGAGGAACTCTGGGAGTTGAAGTCCACAAGTCTTAAAGTTGCCAAGGTTGGACACCCCTGGACTAGACTTTTCTTTATAGATGGGAAGGGCAAAAATCCATTGCCTGATCACTCAAGACCTGTGGTGCCCATAAACTGAGCACCAACCCACTGCAATCCAGAGTGGAATTCCAAGATGGTTTAAGGAACATCGAGAAACTTAGTTGCAATCTGGAATTGCTTCTACTGTCTTAATTTGTTACTGTTCACTAAATGGGCCAGTCGCCCATGTTAGGTAGAATTCCAAACCTCCTTTCCCCCAAAATTAAACTAAAAGTGTCATAGAATACCTTTTGTAGTAGCTTTTGTAACTTTCATCAGTTACTCTTTCCTTAAAGTTTTAGGATGTCATTGTTCATATCATTTCTGTGATTCAAGAGTAAACTGCTAGGACTTTATTATGTGCCACTAATAATACTCTCTATTCTTGCAAAAATTCTGATTATCAGGAATGGTTCCTTATAATAAACAACATACCATACTATGTTATATAAATATATGAACAGATTCATATATTTATATAACTTAGTATGGTATGTTATTTATTAAGGTCCTCTAGATACCATATTGATCTTTACTGTGTTTTAAAATTACCCAAATTGCTCTGTCATACCTAACTGGGGGCTGTTAGTTGCCAGTATAGATAGAGGCTGTCCTATTGTGCTTGTTCTTGCTATATTATCCTTATAGTTAAAACCATTAACTAAATGATTCAATATAAGCCATTAGAATTAACAGAGTTATGTATTTTTGTTCCAGAACATAGATTCTTGAATTTAATCAGTTACAAAGCGAAGTACAATTTAGAAACTCTTAGTGTTTTCACACTAATAACAGCATAGTTCTTTAAGATATTTTATTAATTTAATTCAAAATCAAATATTTTCAACTTTTCTAGTATTCGTTGCGTTACATTTCATTGATAGAATTTTTCCATTTAAAAATTGCAAACCAGAAGAATATGACCCTCTATCAGGGACTATTACAAACTGTAGTGCTGCTGTTTTTATAAAGTTTATTTCCAAGGGGATACTTAAAATCAGTTTTAAAAACAGCTTTCCATTTTCTAATGCACAAATTCAGGCACCTACTACTGTGAGCAAGAAATTGTGGGTTCTACACAGTAAGTAATAATATGGTTGAGTTGCTTTTATACCTATATCAACAGAATCCCGTGAAAAGTGTGATAAGTAGACTTTTTATAGCAAATCACATCTGCTAACTCTAAGAAATATTTAGAAATTTTATTTTATTTTGGAAATAATAAATCAAGTGCAGAAAGTGTGCTTTTACAGTAACAAAAGCAGTTCACAAATTTATTGCAATCTTCAGTCATCTTGATGTTTTTTCTCTCTTGGTATTAGAAACGGCATACGTCTGGCCAAAATCATAAAAGTGTCTTAGATAAAATGTGGAAAAACTGGAAATATTAATTGAAGCATAGTACAAATTATCAGATTTTTAAAAGCTTTATGTGAGCTAGTACTGGTAGTAGTGTCCAATATGGCTTGTGACATAAGTTTAATATTTTTGTCAAGGAACAGAAGGTCAGATAATTATTTTTTCATATAGTCAATTGACACAAAACTGGATTAAAACTTTTGTTGGAATCTGTTTAAAATATTACCTAGTTGTTTTTAATTAAATTTAGCATCCTCACCGAGCATAAATGTTTTATAACATGATTTCAACTTTGTTTGGACCAATTTATTTAATAAGAACATTCTTATTTTTAAAATAAGCCTGAGTAGCCTTACTACTTTCACTGTTGGTCTGCAGAAACCATGTGCTTGCTTTTTGTACACTTTCTGTTCTGAGTTATAATAGCATTGAAAAAAGTGGCACAATCATTTTTCACATAACCATTGCAACATCCCCATGGTCCTGTGACCAAAATTCAGATCCTTGACAACTGGTTCATATTAATGATGCCACAGTGTCATGCATTTTGTGACCTTCTGACAAGCAAAGTCAATGGGGAAGCCAGATTCCCTTAACAACGATGTTACTAACAACTGCAGTGGTTCACTTAACAAATGTGTCAAGAAAGATTATAAAATGGAGCAAAACTCACTTGACAATTATCTTGCTTAGCAACATAAATTTTGGGGTCAAAATTGGGTTTTGGGTTGTAAATTGAAGATTATCTGTATAATATTCTGTCTTAATTTTTGAAAAATCTCACTAGTGCAGCTTGTGGTTTGGTTGGATTGCAAACGGGGGGGGGTGGGCTTTACTTCATTACAATGGAGTTAATAATAGCAATGGAAAAAGGCCCTCCCTGTCTTCTTTTCTGTTTTTATTTCCTTTTAGAGGTGTATTTCAATCTTTTGAGGGGAAATGGGATGAAAAAGGTACATTCTTCTTTCTGTTTTATCATTGTTCCAATACATAATTCAGCTTTTAAAGTAGTGATGTGGAGAATGTAGATGGTTTTGAATCTGAAATGCCTCTTGCTGTGCATGAAATAGACTGTTCCAGAAATATTTTTGGCTTGAAACCCTGAAACATAGGGATGTTTGAGAGTTTTAAAATAGTTGAAACAGCCTATTTTGCACTTAAAATATTTGTCATCCTCAGAACAGTACAAAGTTGAAACACACACTTTTATCCCATTCCATGCCAGGCTGTTTGTTTTTTTGTTGCTTGCTTGCTTAGTTGCTGTGTCTGATGACCCTGACATAGGCTTCAGTCATGTCTGGGCGGTGATTTTATTATATAAGGAAGATAACATCCTGATATATGGAGTAGTACGGGTCTAGGAAAACTTGTGCAGCCAACTCACCATGGCCATCTTATCGTAGCCAACTTGCCACAGAACAACTCGTCCCAGCCAATTTGTCACAGGACACTTACCATGGGACAAACTCAACATGACAAATGTCCACCACAAAATGTCCAGTTCCACAAAAATGAAAGTAATGTCAAAGAAACGGTGACAGGTAATATTTATCACATTTAGTTATCCTGTGGAATTGTCCCACGGCAAGTTGGCTGTGGCAAGTTGGCTGCAATGAATTGTCCCATTCCAGTGTAGTTCTGCGATTAATGAAATAGAATTGTCTCAGCTATTATCATTAGGTCATTTCTCATGATGTTCCAAATAAAACTTCCTTCCTGTTAGTTAAGTCTGCACACCCACCCACCCATATTTTAATTGTTTAGGTGTTTGCAGGTTTAGGTAATTTTTTATTTATTTTGATAGGTTGTGCACATACCATGCAAACTACTTATTCCCAGTGAATCAATTTTAGAAATGCCAGATCCTTAAGTGAAAAGCAAGTGGCACTGAAAGAACAAATTCTCTCATGAGCAGAGGGATCTCTTCCATACATACAACAGTCTTTCTGTTTGTGTAATAAAAAGTTGGGATCCAAGCTAAAATGTTTATTGAATTCTACTTGAGATATTTTCCCAGCCCCCAAATAAAATCACTTGTTATTGCCTAAGTGATTTCTGACAGTCAGCAAAACACTTTAACACAATGATCAAATATGCACTGATTGTTCTAAAACTTTCTCAGCAAAACTGGATATGTGGAAATCAAAATATATGCATTGCTGTGGAGAACTTCAACGGCACATGTATAGCTGATTTTTTCTTACATAAATATATTTATATTTCATTATTTAAATATAACAGTAACTACTGAATAACCTGAAAAATAGATAATCAATTTTATTTAGTTATTTTCTAACAGATTGAAAAGTAATAGTATGTGGCGCTATTTCGCAGAACCACATGCAGTATACACAGCAATTTGACTTTCTGGGAAGAAAATTTAAAATTTCTTAAAAATTTAAGAATTTAAGATAAATTTAAGATGAATATTTGTCTCCATTTATATGTTTTATAGGCCGTTCTTAAAGGATAATAAATCTCATCAGTTTTTAAAAATTTTCTTAGTTAAGGGATGTGCATTTCCTGATATTAGCAAAATGCCCTATGACAAACCACAAATAAAGTAAGAATTCGCTGTCATTAATTCTTGGCTAATTTGTTTAATTGTATGAGGTATCTTCTATTTGTGCTTTTGGCCTAATCTTTGGCCATCAAGGAAGAGGGCAGCATCTCCTAGGAGCCTCTGTGGCGCAGTGGTTAGAGTACAGTACTGTAAGTTACTTCTGCAGCCAGTTGCCTAGAGTTTGGCAGTTCAAATCCCACCAGGCTTAAGGTTGACTCAGCCTTCCATCCTTCCGAGGTGGATAAAATGAGGACCCAAATTGTTGTGTGCAATATGCTGACTGTAAACCGCTTAGAGAGGGCTGTAAAGCACTATAAAGTGGTATATAAGTCTTAAGTGCTATTGCTATCTCCCTAGAATACAGGTACAAATAGAGGGCAGGTGACAATGGAAAAAAAGTGGGAGTTACCCCTTTTCCTTTATACCTGTAGCTGGCTGGGGAATTCTGGGGAATTCTACCCATCTTTGAGTTGTCACGATTGAAAATGGTTGTTCCAAATAGAGAAGGGAAAAATATTATAGCAGGAGCTAAAGAAAAGCTGGAGAGGGGAGAAACCAGAAATATTAATCCTACCTTATATGTCAGTGTGCTTGAAGATATCTTGAATATCTTATTGCAGGGGTCTCCAACCTGGCAACTTTAAGACTTGTGGACTTCAACTCTCAGAATTCCTGAGCTAACATGACTGGAGGAAGAATTCTGGGAGTTGAAGTCCACAAGTCTTAAAGTTGCCAATGTTAGAGACCTCTGTCTTATTGGGTTCCATAGGGACCAGCTAGCTGTAGCTGAAATGTATAATCATCATTAGACTTACATAATACATTTAAACTTGTCAGTATTCCTCAATAATGTGTTTCATGTGTTAATCTTGGCTAAATTATAATTAACTATTGCATAATTTGGAGTTTTGTTCGAAAGTGTATTTCTTTCTGAACATTTTAATCTAAGCCCAACAAGTAGATGAACAAAATGCGTTCCTGAATAGCACACAACTTTTATTGAGGAAAACCAAAGATTTCTGAAACAGCTTCAGATATAATCACACATTGCTCTTTTAAGTCAAAGTATGGTCCATATTAAATATACTGAGAAAAAAGGAAGGATATAACATCATGAATTTTGAGATTAGTACCTTAATCTTCATATTCCATCAACATTCTTTTTTAACATTAGCCAATTGACCATTCAAGGTTGTGTATCTTTGGCAGAATAAATGACAGGCTATTGATTTCAGAGATAGTGAAAAGCCAAAATTTGGGAAACCCATAGACTTTGGTAATCCTATCTGCCTAGTGAATACTGAAGACACTGGAGTTCTTCCAATAAAAAAACTTTTGAGTAATATTTTGGATTTTAAACAGAGCTACTGTACTATGTTATAATATTAATAATCAGAACAATTAACTGAAACACATTTAAACTTTCAGGTCCTGTTGGTGTAGGACTGAATGAACTAAAACGGAAATTGTTAATCAGTGACACTCACCATTATGGTGTAACCGTTCCACGTAAGTGAAAAAGCCTGCTCTATAAATTCCTAATGTAAGATTCAGCTTCCTTTTAATTAGCATAAATATAATCTGCTTGGAGCTGAATAGGGCAAGAATATCTGAATTAAGTTTTTTTAAAGAATCTTCCACTTCATGAGGAATGTAAATAAATTGGCTCAATTTCTCTAACATTGCATGGTGGAAACAAGTAGGCAAAGGGTTTTTTTATGCAGAGGAGACAAACATAGTCCTTGTGTGACTTCTTATATTGCCAGTCTTCTATCAACTATGGAAATCATTAGAAATAGCATTTGACATCAGAGTTACAGTAGACCGAGTAGTCAAACATAATGGGATTATTGCTATTTGATATAGAAGGTACATGACAGCAAGGAGAGGATATGTACCAACCAAAACCTGTTCCAGATTAATGTTTGAGAACACAGGATAGATTTCTTGTATTTAAATTTTCACATGAGTTTCTAAGAGTTGAATTCTGTCTACTTGAATTTTAACAGTTTGGTGGTAATTAAAATCAGTAGAATAGAACTGTTTGTTTTCATTTATTTTCAAAGTGGTTTTTAATGCTCTTTCAATAAAACCAGACACAACAAGACCACGAAGAAGCCAAGAAAGTGATGGTGTTGAATACACTTTTATTTCCAAGCACTTGTTCGAGACAGATATACAGAATAACAAGTATGTGGGAAGCACGAAATTCATGTCTTTTTTTTTGTGTGTGCCATTTTGCATTGCTAATGTGAGACTGTTCCTTCATCTCAGTGTTCTGCAAAATGCCAAAGCTAACTTGATGAAAATTCTTGGATGCCAAAAGCATAGTTTAATTTCAGTTTCTAGTATAAACCATATGTATTGCACCTCAGTTTAAAACTGAGTGAAATACACATTACATGCCATCATTTGAAATTAAGTTTTGTCCAAAGACAAACACAAGATGAATCTATCAGAAGTTTCAGTCTGTATTTAAAGGGTATTTTGAAAATAGAAAAGAATTAAGCATACATGTTTTGTGTCCAACATATGCCCTATGAAGATTTACACTAATTGATCTAGCATTGTTCCAGGGTTTTGATGCTGGACAAATAAAGTTTTGAAATAATTTGAATTTGAAATAAGATATTTTGTAATAATTATGATTTTTCATTCAATTTTTTAAAACATCTGGATTTCTTTAAAAAATGTTACTTGGCATTTGATTCCCTTTATCAATAGATAAAGATATCAGTTTATCCTTCTTTTTAAAAAATATATGTGAGAATAAGATTTTGTAAGAAATATAAAATATTATTTTTTATTTCAGATTTATTGAATATGGGGAATATAAAAATAATTATTATGGTACCAGCATTGACTCAATTAGAGCTGTTCTGGCAAAAAATAAAGTTTGTTTGTTAGATGTACAGCCTCATGTAAGTAAACAATAAAGTATTTAATTTTCCTACCATTAAGCTAATATGTTCTGTACTCTATTAACAATTCAAGGAGGAAATTCCTAGTGAAAGAGAATTATTAACTTGCTAGCAACTGTACTAGAACTGTTAGTAAAATGAAAGTGTGGATCTGAATATTAAAATACACTCTGTTTAGTCTAAAACCTTGTCCAGAATTTACATCATCCCTTATTCTCATTTCAGTGTTAAAGATACTCCAATACAGGACCAAAAATGACCAGCATTTCATAAAATTCTGCAAAGAATCATTTTGAATGAAACATTGTATGTTATATCGAACAATTAAAATGCTACATAATTTATATCTAATAAGACTATCTGTTATTAGAGAGGAATGCCACAGGACTTGTCTTGTTTCAGAGTAAATACATTTTAATATCAACACGTTCACCTTAATATTTTCATCCCTCCAGACAGTGAAGCATCTAAAGACTTTGGAATTCAAACCATTTGTGATATTTATAAAACCTCCATCAATTGAGCGTTTAAGAGAGACACGAAGAAATGCCAAAATAATTTCAAGCAAGGACGAAAAAGGTGCTGCCAAGCCTTTTCAAGTGAGTAAATTTTGCTTTCCTAGAAAAATGAAAATAAATTTTAATTTTTATACCTTTAAGATTTGGTTATTTAAAAATACAAAATTTGGACAATTTTAGTCCATTTCAGCAATGACTGTCCAATACAAATTTACTTGTAAAACTGATTTTTTTTCAAATTAAGTATGTTCTTTTTTTAAGATTTCTGTCTTAATTTTATATGGTTACATTCAGTTTTTCCAAAAACATAAACATTGAATGAGCTGTAAAGAGAGATGTAGGAATCTAAAAAGAAGGATTCTTTGGATTCTTTTCAAAATTCCAAAAATAAATATACTGTCTTACTGAATCTCTTCCTTTCAGCAGACTTAATTTTAAGTAATATGCTTCTCAAGGCATCATTCCTATGAACAATTTAAATAAATTTTTCTAGTTCTGTTTCTAATACAGAGACAGTTTATAATTATCTATTGATTGATGTCTGATATGTATGAGAATGGGGATTATTTGGAAATTGGGCAAAATCAAGTTTCATAATAATCTGAATTTGAGATAACATTTTGTAACAGTTAAAATAATTATCACAATTATTAATTATAATTTTAATAAACTATTAAATAATGTTAACTTTCCATTTTAAAATCAAATAGCAGTACTGAAATATAGAGTGAGAAAGGGCCATTGAATCGCTATCTCTGGCTAGTGAAATCTAAATTCTGGGCTATTTACAGCAGGGGCTGTATATGGGAAATTGCCTTACAGAGGTAGTCCTTGACTTAAAACAATTCATTTAGTGAATGTTCAAAGTTACAACAGCACTGAAAAAAGTAACACGATTGTTTTTCACACATAAAACCATTGCAGCAGTCCCATAATCATGTGGTCAAAAGTCAGACACTTGGCATCTGTTTCATATTTACGATGGTTGCAGACTCCCTTTTGTGAATTTTCTGCCAAGCAGAGTCAATGGGGAAGCCCGATTCACTTAAAAATTGTAATTAAATTAACAATTGCAGCTATTCATTGAATAACTGTGGCAAGAAAGTTCGTAAAATGGGGCAAAACGCACTTAACAAATGTCTCATTTAACAAATGTCTCAAATTTGGAGCTCAGTTGTGGTCATAAGTCGAGAACTATCTGTGTAGAGATTTATAGCTCAATATATAAATTATAATTTTCTGTAAAATTAATAGTACTGTAACTTGATTTGCTTTATATATTTGACTAATTGCTTCTCTTTATTTAGGAAGAAGATTTTCAAGAAATGATTAAATCTGCCCAGATTATGGAAAGTCAGTACAACCATCTTTTTGACAAAGTTGTCGTGAATGATGATCTTACCACAGCATACAATGAATTGAAAACAATTTTTGACAAACTGGAGAGAGAAACATTTTGGGTCCCAGTCAGTTGGGTGCATTCCTAATGCTACACAGATATCTTCATGGTAATTAGATGGGTCCAAGCGGACATATTGTTGCTAGGGTCTTTTTTTAGTTATGACATGTTAGATGAACATTGCAAGAGATGGTTGATCTTATTTTTAATGGATTAATAATACAGTTTTCTAGGCAGCAGAACAAGGGGAAGCCTTATTTCTATTTGTTTTCTTGTTTTTTTTAAAAAAGCATCCTCAACTACTATAATATCTTTCATAAATAATTTGCACTCTCCATGACATTTCCTTTAAGCTAGGATTTACTAGAACATCTTAACATGCAAGATCTCTACTAGTACTATATCTGATTTTGGTTAGCACTTGAGAATATATTATAACTGGAGCATTTATTTTTTAAGAATATAAATGTCTGTTTAGTACTGATCTATAATGTAAAATGCAAATTTCTCTATTCATCTTGACTGAATAAATTTAAGTTACTTTGGTGGGAAAATTATTGAAATTTCTTTTCAATAAGAAATATGTAATATTTTACATCTTAAGTATTTGTATATTGTCTTGTTGGATTAAAGACAATGAGGTTTTCATTTAAACCAAGCTTGAAATTGTTTGAATAATTCTTACTAAGAATAAAACAATGTGGTGGAGGATCATAGCCTTTGTAATTGAGTCAATTGTATACATATATTTATATAAATGCTTTATTAATTTATATATATATATATATATATATTGCAGGAAATACGACTTCAGCAATAGAGTGGTCAATGTCTGGAATACTCTACCTGACTCTGTAGTCTCTTCCCCAAACCCCAAAAACTTTAACCTTAGACTGTCTACTATTGACCTCACCCCTTTCCTAAGAGGTCTGTAGGGGGCATGCATAAACGCACCAACGTGCCTACCGTCCCTGTCCTATTGTTTCTCTTATTCTTTTATTTTTCTTATATGTACCCATTTCATGTATTCACAACTATGTATACACTTATACTTATTATCTTGTAAACAATTGGCAAATCAAATAAATAAAATAAATAAATAAATAAAATAA